ATGTTTCCAAGAAAACTCAAAGGCATAGAGCTCCAAAATGTGACTTTACAGAAAAGTCAGACATCTGGTAAGATGAACAAGTTGGATTTTGCCTGTGGCAAATTTTACAGAAACCTCCCATCACTGCCTAAAAGGCTGGTTTGGTTTTGCTTTCTGAGTTTCTACCTCTTGGCTCTTGCTTGCAAATGCTCAGGCAGATCTCAGTTTTAGCCTTCAAATTACAAAGTGTCCATGGTGCGTTTGACACGGCTCCAGGACAGCGATGTCACACAGGCTGCCCCAAGCAGCACAATGTCCTTGCACCATCCTCTGCCAGGAGACAGCCTGCTACTCCTCTCCTGCAGGGACTCAGAGCACAGAAAAGAAGAAAGATGTAACCTAGAGGGGTGAAGCTTTGCCTGGTGTACAAAGGAAAATCAATTCATTTGAAAAAAACAGAAGGAATCAATTTAGTTCATAAATGGGGATTCCTTTTAGTACCTGGCACCTCCAAATAACAATAGCTGAGGAGTTAGAACCAGGTGAGGCCAAAAAAGGCCCTGATTTCCTTGTTTATCAGTGATGTGTGTTACCATTTTGCCTAAAGCAAGATTATTCTGGAAGCCAATTGCTTAAAGGGGTCAGCAAGGAAGAGGAGGGATTTTTCACCCATCTGAATAGAAACCAACATCATCCTCCTTTACTTATTTTAGCTTAAAGAGCTCCAGGCTGTCTGTGAACTTGACTATAGGAAGAGACCTGGAGCAAAAACTCCTGCTGCCTTCCACTGAAACCAGTCCAGGACAATCCGCAGGTATTCAGTCAGTTTTACTGAGGGTGATGCAAACAACAAGAGCATACAGTACAGCACTGAGCCACAACTCTGTGGCTCCACTGCTGGGTTTTCCTGATGTTGTTTTAAGCATTACAATTCATTTAATGATGCAAAACATGAAGATTTGAATAAAAAAGCAAGGTACACAGCTGAGCTGGTCGGGAATTCTTTGATGAAATAGCAAATAAGACTTTTAACCTTGTGTGGGAAAAACCTCTTCTGTCTGAATGATGGCCACTAGCGAGAGTCACTGCAGCACCACTGCGGTACCAACAGCAGCCTGAAACAGCAGCAGCAGTGCCCAGAAAAGACATTTTCTTGTGCACAGGAAGCACAGGCATAAAGAAGCCTCACAGAGACCTGAGCAGTCTGAATTGCAAAGTTGTTGGGGCTGTGCCAGCCTGTGCTCAGGCACAAGGACATGGCTGCAATGTGCACAGCCAGAGCACTCTGGACACCCGGGTAGCTGAGCAGCAGTGGCAGCAGAAACGCTGCAGGTGTGGAGCTGCTGCCCAGTGCCAGCATCCACCTGCACGACTTGTTCCTCACCTCAGGCCTCTGAATACTCCTCATTTCAGAACAACCTCCATTAAATGTGGCATGACTGTTTCTCAGGTGAGAGAAAGCTTTAAGACTTGCAAGTTTTAACATTTGGCAAATCTTCCAGATTTCTCAGCTGAATGAATAAACAAAATGTAAATACCAACTTACCTGATACTAACAGGTGTTTTCCTGTAGTTGTCACATTGCTTGCATTGCTCCTGAGTCACAGTGTGAAAACCCCGTACCAGAAGAATCAGGTCAATGGGAGTATCCACATGAAACAAGGAACATTAAGAAGAAAAAAAAAATATTTACATCTGAGTCAGCATTAACCGAACTGAACCACAGTCAGACAAACAAAGAAGTTAGGAAACTCTCTCTGACAGGTATTTTGTCTGGGAATTTCCTCTTCCATATAACTTGAGATATTTTAAATCAGTTTTTGTTGCAGAAGCTGGTGAAAGGAACAATGACGGGAAATCAAATATTCCTCAAAATTAAGTATTATATTAATAGTATTAAATGACAGTGTCCTCTAAATCCAGTCTCTTGACTGTTGACATACAGAGTGATAAGTTACTTTCACAATCATTTATTTGATACATAACAATGCTTTTATGAACATACACGGCTAGGACAGTTTGCCCACTATGCACATTATAATGTTATTTGCATGTTCACATTAATGCACTCTCAAGTTTCTGGAAATTACAAAAAAATTTATTCTGCTGATTAAGTAAACTTACATTCAGATAATATAAATTTAACTGGTAAAGGTATATTGACTTGCACCTTATAAGGTTTTCAATGTACTTTGAGGAAGACAGGGGGGTCTGTTTCACTCCTGCTGTAGAGGACAATTCATGGCCCTTGTAGCAGAAAAAATATTGTTGTAGAAATATTGAAGCTGGCAACAGAAGGATTCACCCCAGTCAAACCACGAGAAAGGAGAATCAGGACAGTAACACAGCTCAGTTATCTGTGAGGAATGCTGGTATATAACTTGCATGATTTTTATCCTATTTACTGTGAAACCATCAGAGGACTCTAATCCCAATTGCCATAATTGTGTCTTTGCTTTAGTTGATGCTCATGCTTATTCTCTACACATTAGACTAAAATATGTGGTTTTTTCTCCACTCAGTGCTTTGTCTCAGAACTTGACCTCTTTACAGCCATAGTGGTTTTTAAAAGCAGTTGCTCTGCATTGTTGAAATCAAAGGGTGGAACTGTCATAACACCACTAAAACTCCTCCATCACCTTCAGCACTTTAAATCTACATTTTGGTCTCTGGTCCACTGCACTGTACAGAACTTTACCTCTACTTTCCTACATTAGGAAACCTCCATTTGGTCATGACATCTTGCTGCTAAGTTTTTATGGCAGTAATTAGAAGTCATGTTCAATTTCATGACTGAGTTATTTTCATTAAAATTAAACATTTCTAACCAAATACATTAATCCCCCTTGAACAAGGGTGTCCATGCACAGTAAATGAAGAAAACACAAAGCTTTCATGGCAGATGGAATACAGAAAATGTAGTTATTAAAATTAATCTGACTGAAGTTCACAGAGCATTCCTGCCAACCCTCAACACTGAAGGGAAAGAATAAATAATTTCCCTACTGACTTCTGTTTTAACAGGATATGGAAACCAGATGAAAACACTGCTTTTTACAATCACTGGGCTAATCAAACATTTCTGGCAGACTCTGTAGCGAGTGAAGGACTATAAAAGAATATTTTAGTGTTCTTTGAAAAGTGTATGGTGAGAAGAAATGAGATTTTTCGTGACTCACTAGATATTTGTATAACATTAAGTAAATTTTGTCTAGGCAACACTTAAGAAAAAGAAAGCTTTTGTTATTCCAAACCTTTCTCTTTTAAATGGAAGTATGAGAAGTATCCATCATTCACATGCAATTTATTCTTGAAGAATCCTAGAGCTGCATTTCCAGTAAAGTCTAAAGTAAGCACATGGACAAATCACAGGTAATGAAAAGAAAAAAGGAATTATAGATCCTTTTGAAAGCCTTTCCATGTAAAAGAGCCAATGATCTGCATTAGTGATGTCCAAACCTGTGATGTTACTGCAGAATATTTGGAGTTTTAAAGAAAGAAAGAAATTACTGAAAGAAATTACTTCCTTGCCTGGAAGAAGCATTTCAAATATCCAGCCAGCAAAATCCATTAAAGAAGGGCCATAAAGGTACTCTCAGATAATTCTGGCTTGAGCTGGATTTTCTCTGCCCTGGTCTGTAGATTTATCCCAAATATCTCTCTATACCATTATGAAGATATTGATGCAAACTTTACTTCTCACTTTCCTCCCTCACCCATTATGGTCAATCATCTGTTCTCTCTGTTCCCTTTTTACTTGTGTGAGCTTCTTCTAAAGAGATTTTCATCTCCAATTCCAGAAGCTGCAATATTAACATGCCCACTCCATGCCATTCATTATCTTCATTACTCAGCCACACATTCTACTTTCCTGCCCGCTTAAAGTTGTCACATCTTTCCAAGTCACAAGATTTCAATTTACACAAGATTGGGTGAAAAGGGCTCCTTTCAGGCACAACTACAGGAAAGACCAAAAACAGAGATTTCTTCCTCCCAAAAAACTTAGGTGTCAAATTCAAATGATCGTAACAGAATGTCACAAAATCTTTCTAGCTAACACATCTGCAGGATAAACGTTGAGCCAAACACACTCCAAAAATTCAGAAAATAAACAACTCCCTGCTTCTCATACTTTTTGTTAGATAATTTTTTTTAATATTGATTTCTAATAATTTGAAAGGTAAATGTATCACCTGTGATGTTGCGCCTGTTTTGAGCAGAACTTTCAGTCATTTGGCAAGAGCCAAATACCACAGGGAAGAATCGCACAATAAAAACATGACCTACCAAAAACTGTAAAGACTCACTAAGTTTGCATTAAACATTCTGGGAGCTTTTTTCCCTTTGCTATTTCAAATGTATTTCTTTTGCTGACAGTAAGGCACAAACAGAAAATGAAAGAGTTGACATGAGTGGTTGGGAAACTAAGTGGACTCTGCAAAGAACATAATAGGATTAGTAGAACAGTAGCATTTCTCATTAAATAGGGAGCAAAGTGGCTGTTTAGGAGGTTTGGGGTTACTTGATCTATTCAGGAAAGTGTCTTAGACAGCAGCAGCTGATCACAAGTGGAAGGCATGAGGCACAAGGGCACATAAAACATGCCCTGAGCACAAGAAGGAACAATTCATTCCTTTCATCTCTTCTGTGCTCTACTCTAAGAAGAGATTAATATTCCAACAACTATTGCAAACTGACTAAAGGAAAATATTTTATCCTATTCTCCAAAACTTTACTCAATAACTAAGGAAAAAAACTAGTAACAGAATCACCAAAAGTTCGGTAAAGAACACAGGACAAGGAAAGGAAGCACAATAATATGGATGCAAAAGGATTTTCACATTTAAATGAGATTCAGCCTCATGAATCATTAACATTTCCATCTCACAGGACAAGTTATCTCAACTACTTTGATGTACTTTAAATGGGAGATAAATACAATTCCTTCTATTACATTTCTGCTGCCAAAGACAACTTTTGTGGCTGGTTTGGTTTTCTGTTGTTTGGGGTTTGGTGTTGTGTTGTTTGGGGTTTTTTTCCCCCTGCAGTTACATTTTCAACAGCTACACAAAGCAGCTTTCCCTTCTCAGAAAACTGCAGAATTTTAAGCCTAATCAGTCCGTGAGACAAAGATAAGCATCTTCTGCTTCATGATGGAAATCAACCTGATTTTGCAATTGATGATTTGTAAAGCTACACACCAAGTACAAACCTGACACCCTGGACAAGCACCAGCTCCTGACACAGTAAACAAACTTTGACAGCCATGGAACTGAACTGTGCACTGTTTCCATTTGCCATACAACTTCCTTGTGGATAAAAGCACCAAATGGATTGCAATACATGCCTGAGCACTGCTGGTTTAGATCATTTTCCACAAAGCATCTCATCTTAGATGTTTCACTTATAATGCAAATAAACAACAAAAGAAGGTCACTAACACGTGACCTTTTGCCTAAAGACGGTGCTTACCCTTGTCAAGAACTTCATTCCTTCAAATCCCCTGGGGACTCTCTGCATGAACGATTTTGCATCTGAAATTCCTTACCTGTATTCACCTACATCTGAGCTAACAAACCACCAAAGCTTAATAAGTTACTCTAGATTCCAACACTTGGAAGTGAAGTTTGCAGCTGAGCTGGACAGTGACAGAGTGCACTGCTGCTCTCAATGCTGGTTTTCCCCATTGCAGAAGGGATTTGTTCCTCACTGAGGAATGATGACCCTGAAAGTTAAACCTAAGCACTGAATTTCAGCTTTTCACCTGAGTGTTCTGCAATGTTGTCAAAAATGCGGTTCAAACACTCTCATAGTGATGGTGACATCCCTTCCTTAAAGGTGTGCTTTCCAAACTCTCTCCTGTACCATGTAGCTGCTGGATTTCAAGCCTGGGAGCCCTGGTATTTTCAGGACCACACCTAACAATGACTGAATTTCATCACAACTCTTTTTGGAACAGTAAGTGGTCCAGGACATAGCTTGAAATTACCAAAGTTATAAGTGACAGATCATTTATTAGTAATAAGCTGAGGACAAAGCTATAGGAGTATAGAGACATGAGAGCCCTGTCCATTCTTGCACTCTACAGTACTTAACAGTTTTCACTAATACAGATTATAACAACTAAATATATGCAATGCCTTTAATGAAAATATAAATCAGAAAATCTTATTTTATGTTATATATGCAAATATCCCCCATATGTAGCAAGCTATTCTGAAAAGCAAGTTTATTGGAAACCAGACACAGCACATCTTGCAAGCCTGGGCTTTATGGATGGACAGTTCCCAACAGCAGCAGCCCCAAACTGGAGCAATTTCAGCCATCACAGAGCCAGGCATGGCTTCTTTATCTTTGCAGTTCATTCTGCTTGCCCTGCAGCTGAACTTAGCCTATTAATATATAACACTAAGGAAAGATTTCCTCTGGAGACAGCAATGCACTTAAAACAATAGGTAGCTGTATTATTTTCATCTTACAGGAAAAGCAAGTGATCACATTACAGCTCTCCTGGTCTCCAAACACCTCATCCTTTAGAGCATGTTCCATTTTTGTGGGATCACAGAGACAATTTCTCCCAAATCAGGCACAATAGTGTTGCAAACCAGCACCTTCCTCATCTGCAGTGTTAAACAAAATATTAATCAGAATCTCAAAGAACAACATACTGCTTCTCTTAAGCAGGTTCTGAAGTACCAAACATTTTTACAGAACATGGCAAAATGTGATATGAAGGCCAGTTGGTAAGAAACCAGCACAAGAGTACCAGTTAAACTGTTACTTTGGTCAAGTTAATTAACAGTCTTAATGATCCTACCAAAGTCAGAATGGTGAGAAACATATTCAGATCTATTGGTTTTAGACTGTGGGGAAAATATTCTTCTACAGAGAGGGTTGGGGCTTGATGAGGGTCTATTAGGCACACAACCAGTCCCCAGGGGTTACAGCACAAACAATTTCTCTTAACATTTGAGCTGCACCATTATTCTGTCACTGATGTGACACTCTCCCTACAATCCCACCCCCCTCACCAATAAATAAAAGATAAAAACTCCCACCACCTTCACCAAACGGGACCACTTCCTCATTGCTGTGGTAACCGCACGTTGAGCTGGAGAATCAAGAAGAGATGAGCACAACCTTTTCAATCTATTCCCTGTGACAACTAAGAAAATCCTTTCTACCAGCTTATGCCAGGAAGATGACAATTAAACAGCAGCCACGCACATCAATCAGAATCATGGAGCAAAGCAAAGTGGTGCCCAGTTCAGAGCTGCACTGGCCTCAGGCAGGCAGCTTTCCTGCTTCTCTGGATCACACAAAGTTTCAACACCTTGCAGAGTGAAACTTGAAACTGGAGAAATGATGGACAGTTCTAAACACCCACACCTGAGAGTCATAACCATCATTCCTGCTCATTCACATGTACCAGGAAATAAGGCAGATTTTTAATAGAAATCTCCATAAGATTGGGCTGCCTCTGTGCTGTAGGATATTAAGTTCTTAAAAATAACAGTTTGAAGACTCTTTGGGAAGTAGATTTATCCATCTACATTAGTTTTTCTTCGCAGTAATACTATATTGTAGATGTCCCCTAAGTCTATCAGCTGTATTAATATTTACATCACATATTTCAATATCATTTATTCATCCAGTTTCTCAGAAAAAATGTACCTGCTACTGAAATTTGAGCCAAGACTTGTAGCCCATGATATTCCCAAGATCTGAACAACAGCTTTGTATTCACAAAAAGAAAAGCTAAATCATCTGGAATGATTCTTCATCACTCACAAGACAAGTTAAGATGTAAAATTGTAATTTCACATTATCAAGTGGGGAAAAAAAAAAAAAAAGTTTTATCCCAGAGTTTCTTTAGGGTTTTTTTGTTTTGTTTTGTTGTTTTTTGGTTTTTTTTGCTGTGGCCTTGGGGAGGTTTTGTTGAGCTTTTAAATGTTTTTATTTTCTTGAACTATCTTCAATGAAGTATTTATAGAACCTGTCTTTTAATGAAGCTCTGAAGAAGAAAAAAGAGCACATTTCCAGGCAACAAATCACTACCTGTAAGGACTCAATTTACTGAAATTTTTGCAATTGCTTGAACCAAAATGCACATGAGTCATTTTGTCAAAACTAGAATTACTAGTATTAAAAAAGGGGATTAAGGTGATAATTATTCCTGATGCCCAAATAAGTGTCCCTCAATCTGCAGAGACATTTAAAAGCTGAAAGAGCTATCAGATTGTCCTGAGTACAACAACACTGCACTAAAATTCCATTAATAATAGGAAATTTGTTCTAAGTGGCCCAAACCAACTGCTATTCATTAAAATCAACCCTGCCCCTTTAATATGACAATAACTTGGAATGTTTCTGGAATTTCTGCTTATCTATAATTGTAAAATAAACAAAAAAAAGGAATTCTGAAAGCCTCTAACCATCACCACAGTTATTGGCTACAACAAATGTGACTTCACCTCAAGAAGGACACGCAGCACTTCCTGCTCTGTGCAGACCCCGTGCTCTGAATTAAAACACACACAGGCTCAGTGTTCTAGACAAATACAAATGTTTAAATGTGAACCACAAGTGCAACATATAGAGTCCACATGGTCCACCAGAACTCCCAAGAGCTACAGGCAGTGGCTTAGGCAAATACTTAGTCCCATGTTTTACAATAACATGCCAATTTTTTTATGTCTTGGCATTTGCTGCACATTGTCAGTCTTTTAAATTAATGTGAATTTAAGTAGGTGGAATATATAGTTCCAGGGAAATTCCATTATAACTTATCATAAGTGAATCTTACCACCTACTACACCATCAAGTTCCTGTTGTGCCTACAGATTAGTTCACTCAAGTATTAAACTTGTTTCTTATTAAAGCATCTAAACTCTGAAATTGTACATTTTCCAGAACTTGAAAGGCACTCACAAGGAATGTACTTGATAAAAATCAGTCATATTCTTGCGTTTTTAGCTCACGATAACTATACTCATGTACATCTATTTTTATTAAGATATTTTGTCAGTTACTAATTATTTATACATCTTCCCTGATTAAATAAAGAATTGATAATCCAAATCACAACTTTATGAAAAATAATTTGATTTAAATATAACAGTATTAGAAAATATGAAAAACAACTTGCATAAAGGATATATTAATATTCAAATAATATTCTCCAGAGCATACACAATTTCCTTTCTGAATATATTGACATTTCATCTTCAGTTTTGGCACAGAGGGAAAAAAAACCAACTTAAAAAACACTCAAAAACAAAAACTCCAGAAACAAACCCAAAATCAAACGAACAGTGACAATCTGCATATGTTGAATAAAATTAAACTCACCCAGGCCTTGCTAGAGAGAACTCGGGATGGATTCCTTCATCCAGTACAATACAGTTCTCCCATTTTGGCACAATCTCAGACCTTTACTAACTGACTTCCAGACTAACATGCCAATGAAAATAATAAAAGCTTTTCTCTGCAGCCTTCACATCTCCTGACAGCTCATAGGTGGAGGTTAAAGTAAAGCAATGTGAAAAGGAGCCACACAAGTCCCTGGCCACCATTCTGGCAGCGTTCATCAGAGGCACTGTCTAGCAGGAATTCAGGAGTTAAATATTTTGGCTTTGACAGGAACATCTGTTTAAGCCATCTGCACATTTCCCTTGTGACCACTTGTCCACCAGAAGCTGGGCTAAAGCTAAAGGCATTTTGTATATCAAGAAATACCTGTCAAAGAAGGAAAAAAGAAGAGCAAAAGGAAAAGACAAGGGAAAAAGGGAAGAGGAACACAAGCATCCAAAAAATAACAGCAGAAGGAATGTCCAACAGAAGGATATTCTCAAGAAGACAAAACCAGAAGTCTCAGAGGAGAAAATGAGAAAGTAAAGGAGAGATGAATCCAAGCTGGAACATTTGGATCCATGTGCAAACACAGCCAGTTGAAAGCACATGACCCCGCCTGGGAGAAGACCCCAGGGCTTGAGTCTCCATTTGTTTGTTTCTTCCTGGAAACTAAATAGGTTTCAATTCAGATTAGGATTACATTGAAGCTTTTTGCTGTGTTACTATAATTCCATAATTTACTGCAATATCACAAGCCCTATAAAAGTAGTCCTCCGTTTAAAAAGGGGAATTCTTGTTACACCCAATAAAAGAATTAGGATTCAAGGAATAAAATCTTTTCAATACGAGATACAAAGTAGATGTGATTGTTTCCTGATTTTTTTTTTTTTTTTTAATTCAAGACTTAAATGTTTCTGAAAGGGAAGAGCATATCAAAATCCTTTCTTCCTCCAATCTCCACCCACAACTCAGTTCATCAGAAACACAAGCTGGAGCTGGATCCTGAAAACATTTACTATCTAAGTCAAGTTTAGTGTTTACAGCTGGATCAATGAAATGCAGCAGTCAGTCCTTTGAGTAACTCAGAGACCCACACACATTTAACTCCAAAGGAAGCATTGGAGGATATGTGAGTACATGCATGGCTCTAGTTTAGCACTCAAACATCAGACTTAAAACTCAAATGTATTTGCAGGTGCTCAAAAAGTAATGGACCAAATGCAATTTAACCTTTTGAGCTGCATGTGTGACTGAAACCCAGTTTGATAAAATCATCATACGTTAGGCTCTTTCCTACACATCAGAACAATCATACCAGCTCCAACTGCTTAAAAGAACAATTTTTGCTGCCCTCCTTTTGTGTTCTCCATTTATCCCATGTCTCTCAAGCACAGAAACCCATTATTAAGTCAGTGTTGTTCAATAAAAAGGCAGAAAACGGTCCGTGGTTGTTTGGGGGTTGGATGTGTTGGTTTGATTTTTTTTTTCCCCTGGAATACCTTGCTGATATTTCAAGAGTTAAATCAAAGCCTGAAGCATTCCAGCAAGCATCAAAGCTGGCACAAGTGAGAACATGTAGGCAGGAAGACAGGAACAAGGAGATTGGGGGTGATGTGGCTCCCTGTTTCAGCAGCTGTGAGCTGCTAAGTCTGACCCCCCTGTGCTAAGAACCATGCAGATAGTGGGCAGATATTTAGCAGTTTTTCCTTTTGCTTTGCAGCCAGCTAATTAAATCTGACTTAAGATGGTAAAGTACCCACAACAGTAAACAGCACCTACACAAGGTAAGAATTGCCTCACTTTCACCTCTGAGTTCTGCCATACAGGAGATGCGCACACAGAAACAGCTCTGCTCAGACTTTGTCTGGTCTCAAATAAGTTGAATGGAACTAGTGATATGATTATCAAAATATTCAAGTCAATGTTGTAGTTAGAGGAATAAAATAGAGGGGATTTTTTCCACGTGAGACTTAAGGAGACATTCTAAGCATTTGCTTTAAGCAACAGATTTTTCCTGTAGTTAATGCAAAACAAAACCATCCTCCATATGACAACTCAGAGCAGGAATCTAGATCAGGTGCTCTGAATTGCTGGTAGAAGAACCTTGCTTTCTGAAGAAGCCTAGAAAGGAACCATTTTAAAGACCTGTATGTTTAGGAAGTGTGTTCCCACAAATTCTGAAAAGGAAATTGCAAAATTACATTAGGTCTCTGATTCTGTGGGTTTTTTTCCAAGATACATAAAAAACTAAAACAGTACATCAAGACTTTGATCCCTAAAGGACAGTTGTAAATACATGGATTTGACACAGACACATTCCTATTTAATTTTTTTCTTTTTCACTACCACTAACACTTACTACTCCATCTGTAAAGTGTATTCATCTACATTTAAACAAAGTGTATAAAGCCTCCACTCAACCTGAGCTTGCCCTACTGCTATAAAGAACCTGCACAACAGGTATATTCTGAGGAGAAGGATATCATTAACAGAGAATAAACAATTGTTCTGAAGTCCTAAATTGCTCTAAATTTTTTTTCTGAACCTATACTTTTTCCTAAAAGCTTGAGCAGGTAAAAGACTTATTTAATGAGACCAATAATGACTTCCCCTCTTCTACTCTGTGCCTACCTGGAAACTAAGTTTGGATAACCATAAGGGAACTAATTACCTCGTCCTCCTCTGAATTATTTATATCACTGCCATCCTCTGCATAACCAGCTCATAAAAGCTTCCTCACAGTTCTAAACCTGCATGTAGAACACACTGTCCTACAAACAAAAGTGAAGAAATGTTAGAAATTTCCTCCAAACACAGTCTTAAAAATTTTGCTGAGTAAAAGTAGCTGGAAACATGGCAAACCTGTCCCTCTAAAAGTTTTGGTCTAATCTTCAAGCAAGTCAGAACCATTGGAAGAATGTGACCAATAAAAAAATACAGCATCTATTTGTCCTTAGCAATAGAATTTACTGTACTGACAGCATGAGAAAACAAGTAGTTAATATTTGAACATCTGAATTGTTCTTCCATTTACCTTTCTGTCACCAAAAAAAAAAACCAAAAAACCACAGGCACCTTTGTAATCATAAGAATGACGTGCAGTGAATCATATTTAATATAAGCCCGACTAAAAGAAAAATTCTGTGGTGATCTCGAACACTAAGCCTACTAAAACTTCCTATACATTCAGGTGTGTTGTAGATCATCCAGGTTTGAATGATCATATATATTCAGGTATGTTGTAGAATGTAAAATATGTAAATCATTAACTATTCAATTATATATAATGGCATATAAAGTTCATGAGATTTAATTATACATAAAATAATTAGCTTACAAAAATAAAAGGGATCACAGACGAACTGGTTTACACTGCATGCATTTAAAAGTGGTTAAATGACATATAGGGTCAGATCAATACTAACCAGAAATTTGGGTTTGACCCCATAAACAGTGTCCAAGTGTGGCAGAGCAAGGCCACACACTAGAATTCAGCAGACACAAGACACCATACTGGCATCAAGATCCAGCAACTCTACAGCCTCTTTTGAACAGAATTTTAACACCTTTAAAATTAACTTTTTTTTTTTTTTTGGACAAGAAACATATCAGATTGCTGAGTAAAATTAATGTCTCAGTTGCAAAGAGGTAAAAATAGCTGAATTTACTCAAGAAATATGCCTGGCTCTAGTACAGAGCCTTCAACAACATAACCTGTCTTCAAACATGTTTGCAATGTTCTGCTGCACATAGACTTTCCAACTCTGTTGACAGCAGCTTTTTAGGTTTATACTGCTAAGTCCTTGGGGAAATAACAAATTTTTAGCCTATTACTAAAAAGTAGAGTAAATATTCTCAGTGTCTTTATTATTTTACCAAATTTTAACAGCAACATCAAATCCTTCCTTCACCCTGCTACCAATAGCAGCAAACACGCACAAGAAATGGAAGTTTGGTTTGCCCATTATTAGGCAAGGCCAAGGCAGAGCTATTTCCCCCAAACACCAGCTCTCACCCACGTGCAGTGTGGGGAGGAGAGCTGTGTTGACATCTCTCTCTGAAGTCTCCTGACTCAACATCTGTTCCACAGCTCCAAACATCAACTTCACCAAACTCTCCCCTCATGGTTCATCAAAACCATGACGTGCCTGGGGCAGGTGACCTCAGTCCTCCACCCTGCTCCTGTGCAAACACACACAGTCTGCAGTTTCATTATTGATGTTTGCTTTCATTTTAAATGTTTACTAGGATTGATTTTGAACACTATTTTGTTTCACTGATACTGTGTTTGGCTTTAGATAGCAGCAATGCCTGTAGCAATAAAAACAAATCCTACTAAATGTGTATCGTAACATAATAATGGTCTAAATAATATGTGCCCCAGTACAGGCAAGAAAATTGATAAAGATAGACAGCTTGCAAGACATGAAAACAGGTTTATTAATTATTACTTGAAGGGAAAATACCCAAGCCCACAGCCCAAGCAGAAAAGAATACATGAAAATTAAATGTCAGTGGTACTAGGTGCCAAAAGTTGTTGATTTGCAGTGGCTAAACTGTGCTTTAAAATGATACAACTGGATTCAAATACTCCTCTATCCTCACACCAGGTCTCAATAGGAGATATTTTTCTTTCTGCAAAGAAAGCCTTGTTCCAGTCACAGCATAGGACTGACCCATCTTATTGTTTGACAATATAGCTGAAGCATTTTAAGACCAAAAAACCCACCCCATGTACCAATGCCATTGCAGTTTGCATTTTTTGGATAAACATTTACCCTAATAAAAGGAACACCTTCTGACCATCTGGCAATAATCTGTAAAAATAGCACTGGCCCTTTCTCCTAGGGATGAGGTGGGTGGTGCACATTCCACAGCTCCTGCTCCTGTGCCTGGCATGTCCTGCTCCTTCACTGAGAAGGGGATAAATCATGGCAGGGCAGAGAGTGAAGAACAGCCACACTCACCTGCTCTCCCCCCACAGCCACACCTTGTGGCAGGTGAGTGACAGAGCAGCAGCCCTTAACCTCCTCTTTTCATTCTTTAAAGGAGCACAGCAACTGCAGTCCCTAAAAATATCTACAAATGAGATAGGGTTAAAACCAAAACAAAGCCTGTGTGCATTATCTTAACATCTTACCATCTCATCAGACAACAGAATCTCTTCAGCATCAGTGCTCTTGATGCCTGACACCTTTGAGACATCACTCTTAAAGCAGGAGGCACCTGTGTTGCCTCAGGCGATTGCACTGTAGCTGAGGAGGTTCTTCATTCCTCCCAGGTGAGCAGCAAAAGCAGAAGGTACTACAAGCTGCTGTCATGTGATGCTCTAAATTCATTGACTTCACGTCTCCAGCTTGTTCTTGTTGATTGATGAGACAACTTACAGCTGCAAATCAAAAGGGATTTGGGAAAAAAAAAGACAATGCCTCTGCCTGACTGAGAACACCACAGTGTGAATTGTGCCCCTCTATGCTGCCTCTATTCTTTGCACAAACAGAATCTTAATCTCCTAAACCTTAAATTAAGACCAAAAATCAAATTTTTTCAAAAGAGCTGGAAAACCAACAAAGACATCAGAAAGCATTGCTTGTGTTCTTTCACAGCACGGTTTTCTCAGAGGAAAATAAAACCAACTGTGAATAGGACTGTGGTGAGCAATAAAATTGCATCAATACATACACTTCCTTGTTCTCCCATCTATATTAACTAACAGCAAAGAAAAGCTGTCATAAGGGGAAGTAGAACACTTACATTGCTCAGAATCAACATTGGCAGCTGGCATGTTGAAACCAAATGTAAGGGGGTGTAGGCAGCAAACACCATAAAAACCTTTTTCTAATTTCAGTTCTTAAAAACTAACTACAGTCTCAAATGTTCAAAATGCAGGGATCAGTCTCCTACCCTCAACAACAGAAGGCAGCATGGGGATATTTGTAAAACTTCAAGAGATTTTGTGTTCCTCTTATATGTAGCCCAGATTGTCAATCTTTTAGGAACTCCAAGATGACATGTGCATGTACCTTCTGGACAAACACGAAAAATAGGTCTTATTTAAGAAAGACAAAAAAAAAAAAAAAAAAAAGCCCAAGATTTTAATCCAATTACTTCCTCAAGGAAATAAGGCTTTAAAAGCACCAAATATAACAAGAATTGGCAATGCTCTAAACAGGCATTTCAGCAAAACGGGCAGGAAACTATTCACTTGTCTGGTTTATAAATGAATCTTATATAAAAGTTCCTTCAAATGACCAGAACTTTGGGGTGGTCGGGATATAAGCATATCTCATTTTAATCTCAAATTCTTAAGGCTCTATTCTGATAACAAAAAAGCCTCTGCAGTAACTTAGTTACACAAACATGTTGAAATTCACATGATTGCATCTGACACCAGGATCTTCGCCAGCACAGCCACTAACTTCTACATCTCATGCTTCAGGGAA